TGATAAGGAGTCTAATGAGGCTGTATTTAAGGCAGCCTGGCTTTTAGTATTCAGCCCACAGCTGGTTAGATGCATGCTTTGGGAAGAGGCTGGTGCGGCTATAAACCTATTTCCACACAGAGCTCTGCTTCCCAACCCATAAGGAGCTTTTTGCTCTGGAGGGGATCCTTGGATTTCCTTGCTGTAGGAATCAGTTAGGGCTCTCCAGCCTGCTTATCTCCTTTGTGCCTAGCGCTGGGACCTGCGTCATGTGGCGAGCTGCGCTGCTGAGAAGCAGCTTTTGCCCCTCAGTCTCACTTACTTCCATAAACGGTTGCTCTTCCCAAAAAGCAGTCCGAGAGGCCGGTCACTGCAGCCTCACTGCTTTTGTAGCTTAATTACTACCTATGTATTTGTGCCAGCCTGCTTCCACTCAAAACAGAGAAGATCAACAAGCGGCCAGATAGGAAGCCAAGCAGAAGTGCCCAAAGCTGCGTGTTCGGGATCGCTTACAGAGCAAGGAAGAGAGCTCAGATTTTTGGAGACCCCCACCATCTCCTCCTGCTAGGCCATACTGCTTCCCCCTGGCCCTCTGTTTTGATGGGCCACTGAAACTGCTCTTTTTTAGCAAGGAAAAAAATGCCACCACGTGTCAGAGGTCTCTCTCCATTGCCGAACGTAGCCACGTTTCCCACCGAAAGCAGGCACCGCACCCGTGGGAACGCAGACGCCTCGCAGCTCCTGCTGGCTTGCTGTAATGCATCTTTTGATGGCAGGAAAGGGTGGCTGCATGGAAATGTGGCAGGGAAGGAAAAATTCTGAAAGCAAACCCAGGGGTTGCTGGTTGGACTTAAAAAGGCAGCAGGGCTTCTTGCCACCTTGATCTCTATACATTCAAAATTAGGCCTCCATAATATGACTTGTCTCAGATCCCAGCTCCTCTGATCTACTGCCTCATAGCATAATTGGTACTGAGAAAGATTTGGCTTTCCCCAGTGGTCTCCTGAGACAGACCGCCTAATGACTGAAGCAAGATCTCCTAACACCAAGTACTGATGCATCATTCATTACTGCTTAGAGCTGGGAAAAAGGGGGGAAGGGAGTACGCTGAGTATCTAGTGCAAAAAGCCAAAGCCACAAAATTCGCCTCTGATCAAAAACAACAAAACCTCCCCAAAACCTGTCCATTGGAACGATCCTAGTATTTGTGCTGAACTTTTATTAATATTACTGTAGGATTTCTAACTTCCCTAGTCCTGCTATTTATCTCTGTTTCCCCACCACGAACACACACTTGCAGTTACATGTAAGCACATTGCTCGCGCTCCATAAGGCTGACCTTGAGAAGCCTGGGATGCCAGAAATAACCCCCAGAGGGATATGTGAGTTGGTGCAACTCCATTGCAGTCCAGAAAGCCATGTCTGCTGAGGATCTAGCCCACTGTGGGTGTAAATAAAAACCAGGTGTGCAGTCACAGTGTTATTCAGAGCACCCGGCTACTGTGTCTGTGACGCGCTGTACTTGGGCTTGGGTGTCACAAGCTTTGCACTCACCTGACTTCAGATGTTTCTTTGAAAAAGAGCACAAATTCTTTGATGTAGGTGCTGGCATATTTCTTTGGCACGTTTCTGTAAATCGTGATCACAATGAAATGGCAAATCATGCATTTCCATGCAGAAAAAAGGCTAGAAATCTATAGCTCACGTCCATCCCAGGACAAGAGGACAAGCAGATGTGGAGCTACGGTTTTCACAGCTGCGGCTGAAACCAGTAAAAGTGGGCATGGAGAGTGAGCATTTTTAAGGTAATATTGAAGTGGACCCAGCGGTCCTGGTTCAGCACAGTACCTAAGCACGCTTCTAAACTTCCGTGTGTACGTTATGCTGTGGAAATTGGTGGAAATAGTAGGGTGTGCTGAGGTGCATAATGAAACAGCTCACTGACTTGAGGCATGATATGGCTACTGTTTTATTAGCAGTATGAATTTGGCAAAAGCAGATGCTGTTTTTTATGATGTATTGAAAAAGCTATTTGTGATAATGAAAACAATGATTCTTGTGGTTTCTAAATGTTTAAGTTATTTAAAGGAAATGTAAAAAAGCATAATCTGAGGACCTAGTGCTATCAATGCATTAATTGCAATTCAGCCAGGAAATCTGTGCTACTCTGGCCAAGAGGCTCTGCCTTCAAAGGACGAGCCTCACTGCTGGGGTCCCAGAATGAGCTTTGGAAGGGTTAAATGCTGCTGCTCTCCTGTCCCTCCCCACAGCACCTTCCTTGGTCTCTGCAAAGCACAGGAATCCTAGAAGGGCTGGGACATAAATATCTGCCACTGGATTGTCCTTAAAAGCAATTGCAGAGGAACAAGACAAGTCTTTTTAAAGGGCCATCTATCCCCAGTGCATTCCTTACTTCTGCTTTCTCTTAACTTCTGGGAAAAACTTATTGACCATAAAAGAGATGACAACATTAGCACTGGGTAGGAATGACCCTTACATCCGATGGTGGCTCCTGAGGGCACACGCATGCGCGCGCACCAGAGCGCCCTGGTTGGGGTATTGCAGAAATCTCTGCTGCAGTTGTGAGTAAGGAAGGATCCTGTATTTCCTAACATCCCACAGGCGTTCCCCAAAACAGACCTCCACAGCAGCCCCATTTTCTTCCACCACTCCTCCCAGTACCGGCCTGAGGGGGCTGAACACTGTCTCTGGCGCTCACTGTCCCTCCTGCTACTTGCTAGCCGTCTGGCAGCTCTGAGGGACATTTCATTTGTATTTGTCACTCTGCTTTGGAGTCACAGTTGCTGGAGAGGACTAAGAACAGAGCAGGGTTCCTCCTACCATCGGTTCACCACAGCTTGGTTCAGCTCGGCTCAGCCAGGCTCTGCATCTGCACATGGACCACCACTGCAGCCGATCAATTACTGCTCTACAGTCCAAAACGTAATGCTGGTTTCTGACAGCCATCTTATTTTCTCTTCTCCCTGATTCCAAGCTAATTTGCCCCATTAAATTCCCTCTCCGCCAATTTTTTTTTTTTTTTCCACACTAGAGTTTATAGCCTTTAGACATTTGCAGAGTGAGCCCACACATCTGCCCTTATGGTAAGGCTCAGGCTCTGGTTTCCTTCAGCATTACACAGGTGGATGCTGCCTCCTCTTCCTCCTCATGTCAAAGACAGCAAAGGGTGAAACCTTTAAAAGCCTTGTAAGAAGCAGACCCCATTTGCCCTGTCTCCTTGGGATGAGTCAGTCTAGTTCTCAGGCTGTCCTGCCCATGCCACGGGCTGCAATCAAGGAACCGCTTCTACAGAAATATCTACTATGTCCCAACAACATGAAAGCTTTTCTCAGCCCGCTGTGGCTATGACTTGCTCGGGAAAGGCTCCAGTCATTAAGGTAAAGTCAAGCTAACAAAGACACGAAAAAGAAGCAGGAAGCCAGTTTCTTCCTTCTCCTGGCGTAGCTGCCCCAAAACGTTGATCACGTTAAGGGAATCCTCTCTTTCGCACAGTTAGGCTGCTGCTTGCTGAGTTTGCCCTTGGGTCAGCCCTGCTTGTGGTAATGCTCAGCACCCATATAATTTAAGCTATTAAATGCCTCTTCCAGGCAGCCATGGGTTAAGCCTGCTGCATGGATGGCAGATGAGTGTTCAGCTCCCCGTCTCACGGAAGGGGAAACTGAGGCATGTGGCACTGCAGCAGGTCGCCCAATGCAGAGCTAGGGGACCTCGCTGGTGGGGTCTGTGGGCTTGACTCTGAGCTTTTTTGACAGTGACCCTGGCAGCGTGAAGGCTCGTAGGCAGCCTCCTCGCAGTGCTGTGGCATTCGCCGTCCTGGGAGTTAGACGAGGTTAATTGATCTGTTTGTGTGATAAAACCCGTCTGTGTACTGGCCTTCCTCTAAATGCTGCCTGCCAGAACAAATCAGCTAGATCGCTGTCCCTGAGGCCTGCCGAAGTCTGGCACAACTGGGGCCACCCAGGAGCCCTGAGACTCTTTACATATATATTTAGTTAATTTTTATGCTGAAAAGAAGGCAAGGGAAGCCTCTTTCCCGACAGATGCTGGGAACCTGCCTGTTGGCCGAGCGCTCCAGCAGTGAAAGCCTGCAGCCCAGCCAGGCGGCTCTCCCCCTGCAGCTACAGGGAACGGTTGCAGAAGCATTGCATGGGCTCAGAGGATAGGGTTACCCCCAGGAAGGTCTAAGCAAACAGAGCCATCAGGGTAGCACACTGCAACGCTGGCTGCTGAGAATTAGACCCCGTCCTCATTTCTAGGGTAAGCAATCGCTGTGGACTGCAACAAGCATCCTGCGTAGCCTTGGACTAACCCAGTCCCGTTCCCTTTGCGGGCTGTGCTCCATACTGACTCCCTCTCCATCAACACATCTATTTTTTTTTTCCTGAGCCACAATGTTGTGCAAAGCCCTCTGCACTCTCTTCAACTTCCTCGGCTATCGGGGCTTGTTCCCACCGTGCTGGCCGGACTCCAGGGCTTGCCTGGTGATTTACCGGGCTCAGGGGAGGGCTGGCTACAAGCCACTTTCCCCTCTGATGTTTTAATCAGAGAGAGGGCAAGCGGCAAATCGTTAGGATTGCCCTGCACCTTGGCAACCTCTTCCCCCTGCCGCTTGCCGGGTGCTGGGGACTCAGTCCGGCTGCTTCTGGTTCCTTTTGGCTGCAAATACAATGCTGCTGGACCCCATACTAACAGGATCTCTGTGTCCCCAAAGAAGGGAACGAGTGCTAGTGCCTTCAGGCACAACCAAGCTGAGCCCAACCCGTGCTGCCTGCCTGTAGACCTCGTCATGGTGGTACCCAACAGCCTTCGAGGACACCAGAACAAGTCCAAGCACCTCTTGCAACACGCACAGCAACGTCCCCAGCTCCGAAACTCTCCTCGGCTCTCCCAAGCCCGCTCCTCGGCGGGCGCAAACTGATGCCTTTCCGCTCACTTTCATGGCCCAGAGCTGATTTACACCAACAGCTCCCCCCATGCCGTGCCTCGCACTCAGTACTTACTTTCAGCGAGTAGGCCAAGGCGATGAAGCCGAGGCAGCAGAAGTTGAGGTAGACGAAGTTGAAGATGGACCAGAGATAGTAATCATTCACCTCGGTGGTGTCTGGGTAGATCTCGATCACTGTCGTGGGGTTGGTCATCGTCTTCTTCTCTACAAAGTGCTTGCACTGGACAGCCGGCCGTAGGCTGTCCCCTTTGCAGCTCTTGCTCTCCATGAGGTACCCGGCGGAGGAAGGGGCCAGGATGGGTGACGCGGGCTGCAGGGCGGGCGGCTTGGCGATGCAGGCGAAGCAGCCCTGCGGGGGGCCGTGCGGGGCGCGG